ATACATACATACATACATACATACATACATACATACATACATACATACATACATACATACATACATACATACTATTACCCACTCGCCCTGTGGGTGCTCTTTATCCTCAAAGCTTCATCAAATAACGCAAAAGCCAGATCAGCTAAAATGAGAAAGCATGACAGTTACCTCGAGTTTGACTTCATCAAGAATGACGATGGAAAACCCAAATGTGTTGTGTGATAGCAAATCAAGCAATTAAGCCAGCTAAGCTATAGCGGCATCACATAAAAAATTACCCAGAGTTTAAAGATAAAACAAAGTAATTTTTTTTCAGTGAAAAGGTGTGGATAACATGCGTCAGAAAAAATTAATGGTGAACCTGATAACAACTTCAGAAAAAGTTCAGTGTGCCTCAGTGCACATGTGGTTTCAGATGACAGGGTGGCATCCCAAACTGGCTCCTGAGCGTATGCAAATATTGCTCCCCTTTCCTGCCACTTACCTCTGTAAATCATCATTTTCAACTTTGACTGTGAAGTACAGAGCTTGTTTATAAGTGGAAGATGATCTTCGAGTCTGTTTGTTATCCATCCTGTGTAGTGAGAGACGCGCTCATCCTTCTCACTGAGTTAGGGAATAATTGTTGTTGATGACTGGATTGACTGTGTGAAATAAAGCCAGATAAGGCAAAATTGCTAGATTTTTCATTTTTCTGCAAATAATTTTAATAAGGGAAATATGTTCATTGTGTTAAAATTTAACCAATTAAATAGTCTTTAAACTGCTCATGAAACAAAATGGGTTCATTTAAATTGTTCCAGTGTTTTCACTGTTTATTTTTTTTGAAAGCTTTCAGATTTATTTTAAAACAATGCTCTGAGTTTAAATACATCTTGAATTTGCCCGGAGTTTAAAAGTGTTCACGTTTATTTAAATTTTGTTTTGTTTATTTTCTATGAAGTTCATAGCTCTTTGAAACAGATTGAGTATTTATATTGAAAAATTTAAAATATAAATTATTCCTACATAATCTAGGAGTACAAAAGGCAGTCTATGAGCATGGGGATTAGAAGGGGGTACTTGGAACAATTTTACCCCTGTAAGGGGTCCCTGGCCCCCAAAAGTTTGACAACCCCTGCTCTACCAGAGGACTGGGAGCTTTTTCCTGATGGTCTTTCTTTCGGGAAGGCCAAAATGTCTTTGGTGGACAACAAAAATGTTTTTTTTTTTTGAAAAAACAGTAGAAATGCTGAATTTTTAAGTTATTACGGTTTTTATTGTGCAGACTGTTCACGAAGTCTCCGCCAAGGGAAGCCATTGCTCCCCAGTTGTTTGAAAAACTGGGAAAATGGAACCAGGTAATGAGCAGATCAGTGCACTTTTATTTATTCATTTGATCATCTGCTCTGCTTAGGCACATTTAGGTCCTTGTGCTTTAAAATATGTATTTATCCTGCAGGTGGGTCCTTCTCTGAGGATGGACATCGTGGAGCCGAGAGGTGGAAACGCCAGAGCCGTTCTCTACCAGCTACATCCTGTAACTGTGCTCAACAACTAAAAATGATTAAGTATTTAGAAATTGTTTAAATGTTGCATTATGATTTGGTTAACTTCAATTTTACTTTAACTGTTGTTCGGAGGAGGGTTTTTTTTTCCCCACACAAGTTTCAAGTCCAATTTTTGTTGTAGCTTTCATCCTAACAGGAAAATCCTCCTTCCTTTCTTCATTTACGGTTACTTAGACACTTCCTGTTTAACTCGGTGGCTGCTGAAGTTCATTGATAAGATTCAGCCTCTTTGCCTTGTTGTGTTTCTGCAGATGGTCATTAAAAATAGTTGTCTGCAACAGATGAAGCTTGTCAGTCTTCTGATTGTGACTCAAGAGTGAAGTTAAATTTGTCAGCACACACACAGACACACACCTGTCTCCTACTATTAGAGGTGTGGTGGTGCCAGAATGTATTGGCCTATATTTATAGCTCGTCATTCCAAGTCTCTCATTCTAAGTGTTAGCACCTTAAACTTAGCTGTTGCGTCACACAGAAACACGACTTCATCTTATGAACGTCAACTCATCAGTAAAGTGGCTTTGGAGAAGTTTTACACCAAGGTACATTTATTTTTCTTATTCTTGTAATTAAATACATACTGTGAGTGCAAATAGTTAAAGAGTCCAGGGTCTAAAGAACTACAGAGTATAGTTGAACATAGTACAAAGTTGGACAGTTATTCAAACAAGCTAAATATCACCAGATACTCCTTGTCTTCATAAGTTGTACAATAGTACCTAAAACATGAGCGTGGGTATTGTTCCTTATGGTTATACAAAAGCAAAAACCCTACAATTACCACATCTAAGACGCATATCGTTAAATTATTTTGTGCTTGGAAACACCAAAAGGAAATCATTTTGGATATTTATATATATTGACATATACTGAGAGAAGCCCCATCTGCTAACTCAGAAACATGAAGCGGTATTCAACATTGGCAGCAGAGCACGTCTGTGGGCGTTTAGCCATTTTGTGCCAAACCGTACAGTTTGTGGTAAGCACTGCAAAGCAAAAGATGTAGCGTGACTTTTAAAAACTGCACAAAAGATATCAAATATTATTTACCCAAGGCTCGACTTCATGCACTTCATAATAAGCAACACAAAAAAAGTCAGTTTCTTTTTTTGTCTTCGAGTTGTGTACTTGTCTACCTAGAAACAGGATTATGTGCATACGTGTGACTGTTTGTGTGTGTGTTAGTGATTAGACTGCTATAGACAAGGTGAAGGCTTCTCCAGTGGATGCTTTTAGAGAACACCAAGATGACATAGCACTACGCCCCACAGATGACGACCAGGCTCTTTAACGGTGGGCCTGACTCCGAGCTGGACTGGACTGTCAGCTTCTCGGTGAGACACGTGGGTCTACTCCTCCTTCCTCTTGGCTCCAGGGATCTTTGCCTGGATCCTTGACAGAGAAAACAGGAATTTAATTTTTATGTTAACAGCAAGATGTTTACGCTGGATTTTCTTTTTATCTTTTTTTTAATTTAAGGAGGGCATGACTTTGTGTGTTCTCTTTTTATGGTAGTCAATGGACCCGGCAAGTAGAGTCTGACTAAAATTAGCAACCTGCGTCCAGGAAGTGCATATTTAGGTATGAAAAGCAGTTACAAACCTAAAAACTCCTTGATTTTTGAGGGGTGTTGATGAGTTTATTTAAAGAAACACCCTGGGCATAATGCAAACATCTGTGGCTTTTCATTTCTTCAAAAGTGGCTGGAGAATAGGTAAATTTGCTAAGCAGTTAGAATTAGTATTTTCACATCCCACAGTTTTGATATTTTTATCATTAACAATAGTATCTGATCATTTTAGTTAAATAAAATGTGCAATAGCATCAGCAAACCTATATTTGTTTTTCCTCATTTGCCCATGCCACAGTTTGAGAACCACCGAGTTGCATAAATATATGAAAGATGCCCAGTAGAAGTTCACTTATATACTGGACACTGAGCAACTTTGGAGAAGTCTGACTGTGACCACTGAAAACGGCAGGTACTTCTCCTTCATTTGTTTGCAGTAGACAAACATGAAAGTTGGTAAGTTGTAAACTTTTTTTCCCCCTTTCTTTGGCAAAAAAGTTCCTCAAATAAAATAACTGAATGGCAGCCACTCACTTGCCCACCACAGAGTTGACCTGGGTCCGTATTAGTCCCACGTACTGATCAATTTGTGCCTAAAAACAAAAGACTTTTTAGAAGTTGAGCAATGTTTTTTCCAAACCTTAGCTGACTTGAGTTGATGTGCATTCCTACCTGATGTTTCTCATAGACCACAGGCAAGGTGAACATGGAGACCACAGCTGCAGAGGCACAGAAAAATAATGGTTAAAGTACTCTGACCTGAAGTGGAAATATGTTAAAAACAGGAAAAAAGTTGTTTCAACAGGAGGCCAAGCACACCCCAAACACTTCCCTTATCTAAGGTAAACTGGAAAAGCAAACACATACATGAAATAGAGCAGTACATGCCTCCAATAAATGTATTTGGTGCTCTCTCATGGTGACTGACATGTCATACTTCTGTTTAGTTCCCAATATATAAGGCTCTGTATTCTGATGATTATTAGGCTTCAGATGGAGTGTGAGTGAGTCAACAGCAGTGCCTGAAAGTCAGGATGAGCTCACCTAGGATGAGCAGTGTCAGGCCGTTGAAGAGAGCGCCTACGTAGGTCAGGAGCCACATCAGAACAGCAAACTGAAACAAAGTGTAGTTAAAGTTAGAGCTAGCAGACTTCTCAGCAGGGCTAAAAAGCAAACAGTGATCTTCTTTTAAATGTGATGCAAACCTTCAAAGAGTCAACCAGATCTTGTACAAGGAACAGCCTGCGGAGCTCCTTCATACAGGTGTTGGTGTAGAGCAGGATTTTGTCAGCATATTTACTAATCTGGTCCTGAGACAGAGCGATTTCCATCTCCAGGTAGGCCCTGGTAACATATATGAGAGCAGACAAAAGTGATACATGTCCACAGCCATCCATTATGTGAATGTCACTGACTGTTTAATGCAAACTGGTCATTTTCTTCAACTGTTTCCACTCACTTGAAAGGATGTCCCTCATCTGTCTTCTGCACAGCCTGCAGTACAGACTTGTAGATCCTGAAGCTGATGGTGGCCGAGAGGGCAGCCAGGGCTAAGTAAGCTCCGACACTGACCACACTGAACTGGGTCAGGGAGAAGAGGAGCAGAAGCACGCTGCTAAACACGGCCCCTGACTGCTTCACATTCCTCCAGTAGAGCAGATCAATCGCTGGGGAGGGAAGGACAGAACAAAGGTAAACTGTGTTAGGATCCATAACCAGCATTCTTTAGGTTCAATTGGTATCCACAGATGTACGTTTCACAAACTGGATTAGGCTGCTGCGGTCTACACACCACACATTTGGGTCAAATTACTGGAAGCTGTTCACAACCCAGGGTCCTCAGAGAGCTGTCACGTTATCTTGTTTTAACCCAGCTTCATAACCCAGCTTTTCATTAGGTTAGGCAGAATGAAGGTGTCCCAGTGACGGTGTGCCGGTTAAGTTTCTTTACCTCTATATATAGAGCGACCTTTCCAAAGGTAATAACTGACTCTGACTAGTTGAACAAGTGCTTCAATCTGTGTTGCGACACTCCAGGCCGGAGGGCTTCATTGTTATACCTGACGTGTGCTTAAAATCAGGAGCATCTGGTCAGGTCTCATACGTATACAAACATACATACAAACGGGCACGTTACACTCCAGGTACACCTGCACTGCCTGCTCACAGTGCAGAATTAATGATTGACCTATAGCTCATTGAACGCAGCAGCAGAAATAGAAGCACTATCAGCAGTTCACAGATTATGGCTCAATGTGATCTGGTCAGAGCAGCAGCTCTGGATCATGATGAAGGATGACGATGCATCAGTATCTCATTAATGCAGCAAAACACAATGATTCCTGTGAAGCACGCTCCCTCATACAGGAAGAAATATTTTGGATATACACATACCCCCAGGCTGTCATGTGTCTTGCTGCACTGGTTTCCTTCTGTTCTAGTCTTCTTTGGGTGGTGGGCCCTGTAATTTAAAGCCACTAGCAACGCAAAGTGATAACTGAGGATTAGCTCAGTGTACCATTACAGCTCCAGCAGCCGACGGGTCCTCCTCTGGCAGTCGGCTGGAAACATGGGCTTGTTTCCATGAGAACTGTCGGCTGCTCCTTTCACCTCTGCTGAACCGGCTGCCCCTCCACTCCAAGCACACCACTACCACTGCGAGCCAGACAGAACCACTATAGTACGGACGCCATTAAATCCTTGATGACATGCAGGGAGAACTGTTTAATGTAAGGTATTGTGCCCACGAAGAACAGAAGATCGCTGCTGGGGTCTCTTGGGTGTCTTCCTCTGTGCTGTCCGCCTGCCTGCCTGCTCGCTCTAATTTTAGCTGTGGAGCTGTGAGCAGCATAGTGATGACGGCCATCTTTACTCTCCACTAAAAGGCATCTGTGGATGCCAAAGAGGGAGGCTAAACCTGGATGTGAAAGAACAACGATTGTCACTGAGTGAGTCTCGGCTCCGTCACACACTGTTCCCACACTGTGAAACAGCATGTCTTGTCTTCTTAGTAACTAAAATACATTACAAAAATGCTCAAGACCTATCCCAAACAACACCACCACTGTGAAATCAAAGACTCATTCATTGTCACAGCAGCTGCACATGGACCACTCCCCATTCGATCCATTGTTGCTGGCACGGCTCTCCATGTGGCTACTGATTTGAACGGAGATGCTCACATACAATACACACAAAGACACACACACGGGCAGGCACAGGTAGCGCAGACAAATCAACAACAGACATTTCTGCTCGGGTGACAGGTGTTGACAAGGCAACAGCGACTGAGGTCTGTGATGCGCCGCACAGATGGCACGCAGACTGAAAAGCTTTAGCTGCAGCAGAAGCGAGTACTGACCTGCGGCTCCCATGGCTGAACAGGGAAAGAGGCAGTTGCTTTATCCACGGACAAAAGGAGAGCGGTGAAAGGGGAGTCCCCCCCCCCCCTGCACAGGAGGGGAGGGGCTACAGCCACACCAGCAAATCAGCATTCGCCTGAGCAGGAATGGGGGCTGAGGGATGGAGAGGGACGTGTATGGGGTGCGGTTGCCAAAGAACCACATTGCAATCCAGCACACACACACACACATGCAAACACACACTCGTTCTCTGTTGGAGTGCTTTTATGCTCAGACTTTAAGCGCAGACTAGCTGAGATGAGACAAAGAACGTCAACCAGCCACTAATTTATAAGTCAGCACATAAGAGTGGAAGAACCAAAAGACTTAAAACTGCACGATTTGACTTACGACAGCTAATAATCTTCCTAGACTGCTCCATTAAAACGCTTTGGTGGCATGGCGCTGCTGAGCACCTGCCTGATGCAGTTACCATAGTTACCATGCTCCATTTTCTCCCCACCGTTCAGTGAGAGATGGAGAGACAGGAAGGGAGGGGAAAGAACGTTCCTTTGGGAACAGAGAGAGATTCATTTTCTCCGAATCTGGGGAGACATCGGCACATAATGTGTCTTTGCACCCGACATATGAACAGCCACTCCCTTTATTGTGGAGCACAAAAGGACAATAGCAGGTTAAATAGACTTATGGGTGGACAAGGCTGTGTCAGTGTATAATGAAGAGAAGTGAGTGTTTAAAAGGCTTATACATTATAAGTCGACAGTTAACAACCACATCACGAGCAAAATTAGTGTTTGAATTCATATTGATCAAAAGACATTGTGTCTCTTAAGACGCTAAAGCTTCGGCTCCTACACATTTATTTTTTTTTGAATGGGTGAATGAGAAACTTTAAGTGGTCTGTAGAACCACAAGTGCAGCCCATTCACCAAAAGCCTGTTTAACAGCTTAGTCTGATATTCATATAAAGGAAACCCTTAGGTATGATAGCACGATGTAAATCCCAAGTACAGCGATGACGGGGGGAAGCTGATTGAATGTACACAGGAAGCACAAATGCTGCCTGACAGCCCAGTCTGATGATATAATTATTTGCTCTGATATTGAACACAAAGACTGAGCAAAAAAGAACAAAACAGAAAATGATTAACACCAGTGTCAATAATTTGATTTCCCATCCCCCTTTTTCTGTAGTGGAACTAGTTTAGCCTGACCTCATTAAATCACTGAAGACATCCTGGTGGCCTGAAATGAGCCATCAGCCAGATGGAAAAAACATGCAACAAGACTTCTGTTGCAACCATCTTTCACAGCCGAGAGTCGGGAAAGATTTGGACCACGGCCACTGTGATTTGGACTTGGGGATGGTACCTCATCATGATCATTATTATTCTCTAATATTGGTTAATATATTAATGCTATATTAACACAGCTCAATGACAACTTAAGACTGTTAAAACTATCTGAAAGCAGACACACCCACACCCATATATGTATATATATATATGCACTGTGTTCATATCAAACAAGACCAACATATCAAAGAGGTTTGAACTAATAGCTCAGACTTCAGATTGCGCTGACTCTCAGTTTTAGATATTTTTTTTCTACTCTTATGATGAGAAAAACAGGGGATGGGATCTTTCTGATGTGGTCATGTCAGAGTCATATCAAACCCCACACATCTGCTGTCCAAACCTTCGAACTGTGAGGGGCATTCAATCACAAGGAAGTTGGCTTGAAAGGTGAGCTAAGATTAAAAAAAGATTATTATAATATTTGAAAAGCTAATACAGTCTTGACAGTTGGTTTTAGAGCTGCCACTAGTGTTCTTAATTTTAAAAACTCTGTGACTTTATAAAGTTAAATTCTCCAGGTGGCAGCAGATAGAAAAGCATCCGCAGTGGAGAGAATATATTTTGGCCAACAGTGTGCATTAGAAAACCCATAAGCTGTTTTGTATACCTGTCATTTTTAATTATTTTGATTACATCATGTATCCATGACTCACCCCTGGATAAGCCTACATCATAGTTTGATCAACCCTGATGAGTTTGGTGGCAGTGAATCAGTATTTTGTATGGCAATGAGAATGACTACACAAAAATGCCTACAGCTTCAAAATGATGATGCACAGGCATTTAAAAGGAGAAGATAAATCAGCTCACTTTCATCCTTTGTTGTGCTGACTGCGGTGACTTAATTTGATGCGATCTTGATGCTGTGTATCGTTCGCATCAGGCTATAATGTTACACAGCCTGGGGTATCGATGTAGATCAAATTAAATGTATAATGACTCAGCACATTAATAACAAATAGGATGTTTTTGTCATCCTGAATCAGATACTGTTATGGTCTCTGCTGTGATACAATAAACAGACCAGTCTGTCATGTTTCTATGGCTTAACTAGACCTAAAAAGACGACAGATAATGAACCACAATCGGCGTGGAGGAAAAGACGCCATTTTCTCTCTCGGCCCCCTCTGTAAGCTCTTCCTTGCTGTTGGCACAGACGGCCGGAGGATGCTCTTCTCCGGCCCAGTCTCTGCAAGGTGCCATGGCGGCCAGAGAGAAAGGGCTGATGTAATGGGACTGGGTGCGCCCTGGTTACCATGGAGACAGTCTGTCAGTGCCATTTGGATGCTGTGACTGCCTCGTTACACAAAACAGAGCATCCGCCATAATAAACCAGCTTCCCTACACAGTCGCAAAGCGGGGAGGGTGATTACAGCAATATGCCTTGGTCCATGACACTAGCATCCATATTACCATGCACCCAAAACAGATGGCTCCCAGCACACTGGTGAGGATACAGTTATTTTCCAAAACACCAAGCAGCGTCTCTCACCCCCCCTCCCCCTCCCTTTGTTTTCCTTTTTTTTTGTGAGATGCACAGACATGAAACAAGAAACGATCCGTCATAAGGGCGTGTCCGTGAGAAAGGTGGAACAGCAAACGGCACAGTTTGAATCCCGTACGCTTACAGCTAATATGTAACATGCAAACCACACATGCAAGGGTGACACACATGAATGTTTAACCTACATGCAGAAATAACCATGTTACCCCTCCACGGCCACAACGTATGCACAGACAATAAATGAGCAGATCACAGTAAACACGTCAGTACCCTGGCCTTTCCAACTGCTCCAGGAGCATTCCTTCTTGGTCACGTCTGCAGCTCCCTGCATGCTGGTGATCAGTTTCTGTCCCTGTTCTCTCTCTCTCTTGATTTTCTCTTTCTGCTCTCCGTTTTCTTCTTTGCCTAGCTCTTCGGTCGCACCGACTCACTCACTCATCCCAGAAAGGCATGAATAGTCGAAAAAGGATGCGAGAGAGAGGCTGAGACGACAGAGAGGGAGGAAGGGAGGGAGGAAAGGTTTCCAAGGTGCTGCCGGCGCACGGAGCACAAAGACTGATGCTTGTGGAGCGGTGCTGGCTAGAAACAGAAGGAGAAGGGAAAGTGCGTATGTGCCTGTCTGTGTGGAGGGAATGGAGTGGAGGGGGGTAAATTGTAAACACCACACCACAGTTTCTGCTGCAGCAAATCATCCATGCAATGATTAAGAGCCCGGGGGGTTTGGGGGGTGGTGACAATCGAAGCTTCTTTCCTTTCACAATAAAAGTCCTAACAGAGCATCTAATTTGTAATAGTGGGGGTAAAAGCAACGGAAGGGTTAGGTGGATGCAGGGTCACGTGGTGTTTAGAAAACTGCTTTTGTCGTAGCTCCAGTGTGGCATCATATGTATTTGAATCATTTGCAATATGCGCATTAAATATAGCACATACCACATGCTGTGCAGCCTTAAATATAGAAGAAAAAAGGGAATTCTATAGTCTGATGTCATGCTGCACACCAGACAGGATGCAATGGAATATTTTATGAGCATTGAAAAATATGGCAACCATCCAGATTCGTTATTCTGTATTTGCACATGACACAATTTATGATTGTAGCCATAGATTAAAATAGCCTTTTCCAATATGACTCACTGGCAAATTAAGAGGCAAAGTGCTTGTTCTTAATAATTCATAACAAGAGACACTGTGCATTTACAGCACAATGCTCCTTGCTTAGTGCCTTCGGGATGTTTGTGTGTTATGGTTTCCTCTCCAGAACACATTTGTAATGCAAATGAAGCTGGAAAATGTGACAGAAAAAAGCAAAGTTGGATGTGTAAAAATGCAACTTAAAGAGCACAGTCATTGTGTGGTGTCAACGTTGAACAGAAAACAATGTGCTAATACCAGTTTTCAATCCCATCAAAGCTGCCAGTCCTCCTCCCCTCCACCCGCTGACAGCCACACCTCACACCTTCTGCTTCCTACAAGCTTGATGGGCCTTCATGCCAATACCCATGGAGAGGAAATGAAAAAGCTAACCTGGTCCCCCATCGCTGTTGCTATGGCAACTGGTATGGAAGTGCATGGACTGATGCAAACAAAATCTTCTCCCCTTCAACACAGCCTAACATAACAAAGGTGCACTATGCCCTCTAGTGGTGGAGATAAAAAAAAAAGACCTGACCTGCTTTTTACTAGCATTTCCAGAACCTTCTTCTAGCCTCAGTAAACAAAGTAAAACAAATGCATTCAGCTGCTATGAAATGTGTCAGTTTACATTTTAAACATGCAGCTATTCACCTGATTCAACCAGGGTGTCGGTACAACCCATGCTTTCTTAGAGGCCACAGAGGAACCAACGCAGACAAAAAAAAATCTAAATCAGAGGTTATTTTATTTGCTCTACAAACATGTGGGATTCAAGAGGATTCCTTCAAAGCTCTTAAGTAAGAGAGCGCCCCAGTTTTGACATCACAGGATTATGTAAACCCGCTGTTTACACTGACAGCCAGAACAGCCAATAGAAATCAAAATAGCCCTGCTGAGATCAAAAGGTGCAGGCTATCCAGCATTAACTGCTCACTGTGAGTGGCATGTCTGACTTATCTAATCTCAGGGGGCTGAAGGCTGATGTGTGAAGCCAGATGTTGTCAAGATGCTGGAAGGCCTCCACCCCCTCCTGCACATTTGTAATTCTTATCATTTGCATCATTAGAGTCACAGGCCTGAAACTGTAGCTGATGATTTTCAGTTGCCTTGCATTTTAAAGCACCATATCCTTTCTCTGTTTTTCCTTCTATACACCACCAGGGGGAACCAATTGTGGGGATAGTGCAAGACAAGCCTTCCCACCCACTCCTTGTGCAGAGATAAACACTGAGCAGCTATTTCACGGCCTTGTCAACAAATCATCGCCAAAACATGCAGTCCAATAAGTAGCTTCTATGATAAACACCAGCAGATAAATTAGTACTTGTTCCATGAGCTGACAGCTAGTATTTAAGATGGGAGCACAGCAACAAATAAAAGATCACAATAAGTTATAAGTTTGTGTGTAAACCTAAGAAGATATAACAGCAACAGTTTTAGGACTCACCTTTTTGTTTATCAAAGCCCTCCAGGAAAGTTGATGCAATAGGCTTTCCCAGGTCTCCTTTGCCCTCGCTGGTGATTTTGTGCATGTCTTCCTGGTGGAGCTTTTCTGATCGCACCTCGGGAGGCACGGCCGCAGTTGGGGGCTTTGGTTTGCTAGGGCGATCCTCCTCCTTTTTCACTGGGGTCTTGATCTTTTCTGAAACCAGGGGCTCAACGGGCGCCCCCTCAGTGGTACTGCGGGGAGGGACAGTGGTGGGAACCAGGGGGGAGGGAGGGCTGACTCCCTGTTTGGGGCCACTGAAGCCTTGCTCTCTCTTTGGGCTTTCTTCGGACGCAGACTCAATGAAGAGATCACTGTCAAGCTCTGCCTCCCTCTCTTCCCTCAGTATGCTGTAAGCTGTGGGTGGAGCGTGACTGCCAGCGAGGCCTAAACCACCCTTGGCAACTGGGGGACTGTCAAAGGGGTTGTTAGGCTGGCTGAACGTGCCCTTGCTTTTAGGTGGCTGGGCAAATGGGTTGCTACTGGCCTTAGGAGGTTCCTCAGACACCAGCTCAATCTCAGAGTCCCCAGACTCTGCGCTGCTGCCATCATGGTCCCTGCCACTGCCCTTTGTGCCTGGGCTGCTTTTGGAAACTGCATCAGACTTGAATATGTCATGAGAGGGGAAATCTTTTTCTGCTCACAAAGAAATCCAGAGAAAAGAAGGCATTAGTGTCTTCCTTGCAAATCTGGACACACAGTATGTGCATACATGACTTAAAGCTAGATTACATAACTTTTGAAAGAATAAAGAAAACTCTTTTCTTTTAGCAAATAAAGTCTGTCTACAAGTGCTAAATGTTAGCATTTTCTCCTATTAATATGGTAATTTGCACACCCCAGCCACAGAGAAAAAACTTAACCTGTAATTCTAATGTGTGTGTGTGTGTGTATATTGATGCTGATATACCAAGCTACAGACTTTTATCCATGTAGTGCACAGGTGAAAGGTGTTTGTGTGTGACTATGTGCTTTGCCTACTTGTTGGTGAAGCACTGGGAGTGGAGGCTGGGCTGTCGTCCTCTGGCTCTGACAGCGTGACAGTGGGGACCCCCTGTATGCCCACACTGAGGACGCTTTCACGTTCAGACGCATTGACTGAGGGGGGGTGTGGCGGCGGCTCTGCCTTAGTAGTTGTTGGCTGGGACTCGGTCAAAGTGATCTTCACCGGGCTGGCCGTCTGTGGCGTGTCGCCTAGGTTTCGGTAGGAACGGTAGTCTCCCAGCTCCTCATCAGATGGCTCCTCAACATAGGGGAAAGAATGGGAGCCCAGTGCCGGACCTAGATTTTCTTCATCCTCATCATCCTCATCTCTTCTGGGATTCTTATCAATGTAGCTGCCCAATAAGTCATGTCCAGCTGAGCCTTTGTCCAGCAGGTTGTGCAGAGCCCCCTGTTGCTGGTCAGGGCGCTCGTCGCCGTGGCTGATGTCCATGTAGTTGTAGGATTCTGTCTTATCTGAGCCCAGCAGAGATTTTGCTGCATCACTAGCTTGGCTGGAAGTCATCTTGGAGCTGAAGCTGTAGGTGTCACTTGAGAAGTGATCCAAGGAAGAAGAACCTGAAGCGTGGCTAGAGGGCTTCAGGTCGTCAGACAGGTAGGAGGCTTCCTGGCCCGTTGTGAAGGTCTGATTGGACAGCAGGGAAGTGTAGACATCACCATCATCATTCATAGGCTTCCTGAACAGGCCAGACATGGGATCATCTACAAAAACAACCAGACAGACAGAAAGCAAGAGCGAGAGAGAGGCATGAAACTTAGGTGACAGATAAGTGTCACACAGAATCAAACCAGCCTGTGCCTGAGCAGTCTGATTAATGAAAACATCCAGTTAAACAAGGCTGCGCTTCAGCTGGATCTGCTGCCAAAAAGAGGGGCTGTGAAAGCAGCACAGTCAGACTGGGTGCCTGTCTGTGCAGATCAGGAGGGATGCGGTAACAGAGCGTACTTGTACCCGACGAGGGACAAAGGGGGATTGTTCAGGCTCCCCCAAAAAACACAGTGTCGGAGCCAAAGTCTGTTCTAAATCATGCCAGCAAAGGGTATTCTGTAATCACATTTCTACTCTGTAATCACCAGTTCTCCGTCTTCACAAAATAGTGTCATCAAAATGAGCTTATGCACACATGCTAATGATGCAGCACAGGAACGGTGAGGACCAGGCAGGAAAATAACCAGTCTCACATAATGCAAACTGAAGTGGTAAACAGGTGATTGCTGGCAGGTGTGAGGACTACTCCCTGCCGTCTTTCTGGACTGTGCTGTGTGTCCCTTTGTGGACTGGGCTGATTTATCCACTTCTGTGGTAAGCTGAAAGGTTTTCATCAGTTGCTTCTAGTCACTGTAATGTATATTAAGACTGATCCATGAAGATATGGATAAGCAGTAACAATACAGAGGTATGTCTTGACGGGCAACTTCTGCTTATATTAGGATTATTTAATTTAGTATTTTAGCCTCCCATTACAGGAGTGTAGTCCTGTCCTCTATTTCTACTGCTTAAGCAGGTGAGTCAGTTCAAGTCAGACATGAGCTGTAGTTGGAGTTGACTCACTTTATAAATTTGAATGTCCATGCTTCATTAATGCGGTGTTTTAGTTTATATTGTAATGAAGTTTGCTTACTGATAGGATACTCCCAGTGCTAAAGCAGTGGCTTGTTGGCTTCCCACAACCATGATGTTTTTCACGTATTTTAATATTCCATAAATGTTTTAAATATTTTTTTTGATAATTTAATTTAATATGGTTTTAATAAACACCCATAACAATGACACATAATGTCACATAAAACAGGAAGGAATGTCAGAACATTAAGAATCAGGAGCAAAGGTCAAGTCAAGTATTTCCATTTCCTGACTTTAATTTCAATTCAGTTTTATTTTTATAGCGCCAAATGACAACAGTTGCCTTAAGGTAGGACGAAGACCAACAATCAAATGTCCTACTATTAGCAGCACGTGGTGACAGTAGGAAGGAAGAAGATCCTTTTTTTCCCCTCCAGCAGAACCAGGCTCAGGGAAGGGCAGGGGACGGGGCAAAACTTTTAATAAATTTGGATCAACTGAAGAATTCATGTCAAGCTTCCCAGTCTAAGTTGACAAAGAGTCCCACTTCATATAAAACTGCAACATTTTTATCTCATCCTCCTGTCACACATATTGAGACAATGTCCGACATTTTTATTGGTTCTACTTTATAAAAGTAAACGTGGCTGAAAGAGACACATCTGCAGGTCTATGGATACATCCCTAACCAAACATGTCTGGATAGTTTGTGTATTTCTTCAGTTTCAGCCTACCCTTTTTTAGTATTGTTCCACTTTGTCCCACACATGCCTACTCTTTGCCCCACATTTAGTTTGTTGGAATCTGTTTACCCTATACCAGTTTTAGTTGTGCAACATGTGTATAAAATGAACATCAGCAATCACAGTAGTCCCACAAAAATACAAACTATATACCATATAATGTTAATATTTGTATTATGCTGTGTACAAATCAGAGTTTATGCTTCCACAAATCCAGCTCCTCCCCCCTGCTCTCCAGCCTTGCTTCTCCCAGGGCAGCGGTGAGGCTATAAATAGGCTGGATCCAGCTGCCGGGCTGGATGAGGGGGTAAGATTTTAAATAGTAGCCTTCGGGTTAGCTCTGGAGGATGCAGACTGACTGACAGAAGACCCAACAGGTCAGGACGTCCCGTCCCTCCCTTTGCTTCCTCTGAAAAGCCCCGCCACCCTTTCCTTCGGCTGTCCTTCCAACTGCTGCTTCCTCAGTCATTAACAATACATCATACCGCAGTACAGGGACATAAACACTACACACACAAACTGAGATACAGGGGAAAGCGTGATGTGGCACGGAAGGAAAGCAAAGCAGGTCAACACGTTTTTCAATAGGTTGCTGTTGAGCCATATTCAGCTCAGTAACATGAATGCCCTTGATGTACTGCTAAAGTGAAGCAACATGTAATCCTCTTAGTCCACTACTATGGTATAGGTCCCATCAATCGTCCCACAGGCAACAGCATCATAATCTTAACACTCACTGATTCACTGTACAAATGCTGTGCAGTGGGAAGCACTTAAAGCCACTAAAAACTGTGAAGCGAGGTCATCTCCCAAACTGGGAACTGCTCATGCTCCTGTTGATTGTAGGCAACACCCCCACTGCTTCCATCTATATCAAGCATTTTTACATAACAACACAGGAAATACAGTTCAACAGCACGTTCAACAATTAAGAGGCACGATTTCTGTCTTTAACCGCCATGAAAGCAGCTGCTCTGAGCAGCCGCTTGACAAACTTGGTGGAGATTGAGGGCATTTTGAATCTGCTGATCTGATATAGCACCCAGACAATGGGAAAAAAAACCCACAAGGCTGAAACGAATGCCTTACTGCAGTTGGGACAGGATTGGAAAAGACAACAGAGGAATTCTCAGCTCACACAACATAATCATGTCACTGAAAGGATGGCGCAGTGCTGTGAATGGGCAGTCCCTTTGTTGTCCTCTGTGCAGCCAGTGCAGCTCTGAAACTAATGCAGCCTGACAATCTGTGCTACACCAAGGCATGGGCTCCTAATTATCAGGCAACACACAAATGTGAGCACAGATATCAAAAGGGTTTGGAGTTGCAACATGAATATATTAGCACTGGAAATAAAGGTGCACTGAGCCGCCTATATGGCAGTCATTCAGTGTGCAATAAAAACGAAAAAGCATTAAAAAAGAAACTTTGAAAATGAGGAGATGCAAAAAGAAATGTCGCTTCCCCCCCCACAAAGCATGCCTACAGACTCGAGCATCATGGTGCCTCCCTCCTTGCAGGCAGCAGTGCAGGAAAGAGTCAAAAGGCATGCTGCTGATTCCATGATCCGTAGAACAAGCTGGACTGACATTCTGGCATAAGTCTGTCTGTCTGCACTGTCCGAGCACACAGAGACCCTCAATAGTCCCAGTCATACAGTTAGTTTCATAAGCCTTTGGATGATGACTTTTTGGGGGGAATTTATGCCTCTGTACGGCCCACAGGATTTGAGATTTAAAAACTAAATCAAGAGGTGATTGGAGATGGGGTTTCACCTGTAATTCAAGTGCTTTAACTAAAGTACTGGATTAACTGCTTAGGAATTACAATTGTCAAATTAAGCAGGAACTTATATTTGGCATCACTGGAACTCTCAATATGAGGTCCAAAGAGATGTGGATGCAAATGAATGCAAATACAAATCGTATACAACAAGATGAAAACTGGTTATACTCAAGAAGAAGGAGGCCAGATTGGAGTTTGCAAGAAAACACCTAAAAGAGAGAATTTGTTTTCAGATGGAACCAAGATTAACTTCTACCTTAATAATGGGAGCAGAATTGTATGGAAAAAACTGAGAGACAGCCCATAATCTGGAGCATACCATCTGTCATGGTGGAGATAATGTTATGGTATGGACATGTATGGCTGCCAGTGTAACCGGGTCACTAATGTTTATTGATGACGTGACTGCTGATAGGAGGCAGTAGGATGAATTATGAAGTGTGTAGGGCTGTGCTCTCTGCTCAAATTCAGCCTAATGCTGCAAAACTGATCTGACAGCTCTTCACAGTTCAGATGGATAAATACCCAAAGCATAGTGCAAAAGCAACCCAGAGTTTCTCAGAGCAGAGAAATGAGATTAGGGCTGAGCGATATGGCTTGAAATCCATATCGCGGTATAATTTGAAGCATGTGCAGTAATGATATATATTGCGATATATTCTTTTCTTCTGTATAATGTATTTTCCACACTATAAGGCACTTAAAAACTTTGGTAAGCAGCACTGCTTGATGGATTGTCAGAGCATTACGGCTGCCGTAGTGAGGAGCTTCGCGGAGTAATCTGGGCGTCAGGTCCCTTAGTCAAACGAACACTGAGAGTTAAAAACGGTCTAAATTCTTTCATCTTTAATAAAATCATCAGCGTTGCTGCTTTACCAGGTGTAACAATTAAGTTTAACATCCAGGCATCGATGAAAACAGAATTTAATACATTCAACGAAGTTACAAGTTAACAGGAAGTTAGCTCCTTAGTTTCCACCTAAACATGACATCCCATGTTCTGACTGAGAGATTTTTGAAACTAATTAAAACGTACAGCTCTGCTACCACTTCCAACATAAATGAAGACAGAAAACTAAACAGCAGTGACGTTTGCAGGGTTACTGAAGTTGGACTACCTGGTATATAATGTTGTGCTACGTGATTGCTAGCGACACAGCTATGTTAGCATAACATTAGCACAGTGAAGCTGGAGGATGAACGCCAACTTTTTTTTCCCACTCGATAAAAGTTAACGTGAGGGATTCTGGTGGTCAGGCACAAATCCAATCGCATAGCAGGATGCTATACATGGGCCAAACTTCAGTCAGGAGAACAACTGAGATTATTCATCCATAATACGAGGTTAGTTATTAATACACTGCAACAACATGGGAATAGAGCAGCTGCGAGAGAATTCAACATTAATGAATAAATGTTACGGAAGTGGAGGAAGCGCCGTTTTTGGCTTTCCCCATATTTCAAAAGTGCTTCATCTCTTTGCTATGACTGTCGTGCGGCACAATTTGCCGATGATAATGGTTGTAGCCGCTGCGATGCTTTTGACCAAAACAGGTGCAGCTTGATGACATCATCAACATGCGCTATCGCGGTAGAGCGGTATAGTCAAA